CTATAGATTGCATTTTAAATACATTTTTACATGTGTTATAAATGCATGCATGAAATATTAATTGTAAGCACCTATAATTTTATAATTTTTATGGTAGATCTAAGCATGATGAAATTGGAAATAAAGGATTTGAATGACATTCTTTCTATGCTAAGGAACAGCAAATTTGATTATGTTAAATGGAGGGACCTTGGACTGGAGTTAGGTTTAAATCTAATACGTGTAAACCTTATTGAAAATGACAATCCTCAAGATACTGAAGCACGCCTTAAAAGAACTTTAGAGATATGGCTAAATCGAATTGATGATGTTGATAAGAAAGGAGGAGCAACTTGGAAAGCACTAGTGGATGCACTTGAAAAGATTGGTCAGAAACCAGTAGCTGAAAGTAAGCACTAGATCATTGCTAATTTTATTTCATATCTTTATCATAGAAATAAAAGACTATATTGACTAATTTATTTGCAATAACAAAAATTTATGTTGTTACAGTAATTTTGGTTTTCAAATTACAAAAGTTGTTCAAATTAAAGTTATGCATCTATTTTTGATCCTTGTCCCATTATTACTTGTCCTTGAGGGTTAGCTTCTTTATGCCTGCAGTTGGAACTATACCAGCAGTAGTATCATCTTCTATACTCCATTGACTTGTTCCTGGATTATAAATTAATAATAGTTTGAGCTGCATATCTATAACAAAACCAAATATTAGAAATGTTAATCACCATAATTTCACCTTTCACTCCCTTTTTAATAATCAGTTCTTTATCAAGTGGTGGTTCACCATAATGTCCTTGAAAATGAAACGTCAACTGAGCCTTCATTTCATCTGATGAGGCACCAGCTGATGCTCTCCATGGAAACCTGATAGAGAAAGGCTCTTGCAACTGTTGAGGTCTTTCACCTACAAACACTGTAACCTTTAAAATTATATGAAATATTAAAACTTGAAAATTTTCTTGGCTTACTCCAGTTAGAAATGAGAAATAGAATCCATACATGTCCTGTCCTTCTATTGATAATGAAACCTGTTCCTCAGGAGGTCCTTTAGTACTTTGTGTCACTTTAATGAATACTCTTCTCTTAAGTCTAAACTCAGGTATGGGCAGTCCAAGCTTCTCCATTACCATTGTGGAGACTTCTTCACATTTAGCATGAATGCAGAGTGCAGCCATATTGTGCAATGGTGTCTTTTGCAGGTTAACTATAACCAGCTTCTCTCCTCTCTCAGTGACACACTGTAATGATGATATCATGTGACTAACATGTGAGACGCTATACTGACTAACCTCTGGTATGTCAGCCGCTGGAGTCACAGTGAGACTGGATCCCATTGCTAAGCAAAGGTCTGCTACTTCACCTTCTTCTGTACCTCTTGTCAACTCGCCTAGTAATGAAAATTAAAAAGAAAGATTTTGGTTATAAATTTTTTTGTCTAATTTTATCTTTCTCTTACTGTCTGGAAGGTCTTCTCCAAAGTTTATTATCGTGTCACGTAAGATCCCCTGACAGCTTGGATCATCACATTTTCTACCTAAAATTATCAATACAAACAATGGATAATTATTGCATTACTTTACCATAGCTGTTTTTAGCATGGAACACTTTTGGTTAAAAATTTGAATGTTCTGAACAACAATGAATACAAGGCAAATTATTTGGCAAATAAATTAGAATTTATTTCTATTACATTCTCAATTTCTTATACATGCACTTATGTTGCATACATAATTTGAACTTATTTTGATCAAAATTTATTTTTTGTGAAATTTTAAAGCTGCTAAAAATCAAGCCCAAACCCTGTACTACTTGGGTCAAGTTTTACCAAAATTGAAAAAGAAAACATTCTCTATTTTTATTATTTTTTCTGATGCATATACCTTGTGTAAAAAGTTTAAACTGATTTCAATCAAAATTAAATTTTTTATGAATTTTTAAAGTTTCCCCAAAATTGGGCCAAAGTCCCTGTACTATAGTACAGGATCACTGGCCAAATTTCATCAAAAATGACTAGAAGAAAATTCTTCATTTTAAAATTTTTTCTGATGCATATAAATATTCTTATGTTGTGTAAAAAGTTTAAACTGATTCTAATCAAAATTAATTCTTTAATGAATTTTTAAAGTTTCTCCAAAATTGGGCCAAAAGTCCCTGTACTATAATAGTACATGGTTGCTAGCCAAATTTTGTCAAAAATGACAAGGAGAAAATTTTTGATTTTTATAATTTTTTCTGATGCATATACATGTTTTTATGTTGTGTAAAAAGTTTAAACTGATTCCAATCAAAATTAAATTTTTAATGAATTTTT